GCACCCTGGAAGGGCTTTTGGCTTTTCACCGGCCTGTATCAGCTGCAGCCCTTAACTGGTTGTATTTTGGTTTTGGTCTCTCAGTAGAAATTCTTTTAGTAGATATTCTTCCGATCTCTGTGTAATCTTCTGGGTCCAGAGCAGGCAGTTACCAGGGAGCAATGACCCCATCTGCCCCTTGCTCTTTCTCAAAGTCCTCATCTTTAGAACCACCGTCGAGGCTTACTGGCCCTTAATGTTTCTCTCTCTCCTGCCGGCCCGCCCTCTAGCCCTCTTTCCCTTCTTCAGGTCACTCGTCTCTCTTTCGTTGGGGGTCTTCGATTTGCCGGGTACCTGACCGCAGCACTCATTGTGCGTCCCCAGGAGGATTTAAAATCAGCCCCTTCCTCTAGGATCCTTCACCTCTGTCTCTCCCCTGAAGCTTTGATTCCTTTTGCCCCCGAAGTTGGGGCCTCAGTTTGCCGCAGATTCTTCTTAGTGTCCCTAAACACCGAAGATGCTCGCCAGCTCTTCAGAATGTCCTGGGCTGAGAGCACGGAACACCCGAACTCGCCGGCGTGATGAGGGCCTGCCGCGCTCCGAGGAGCCCCAGCAGAGGCTGCGCCACAATGATCATGCCCTGCCACGGCCAAGTCCCAACAGGTGGAAATGGAGAGAGAGAGTGACAGACCTATTTGGGAGCGCAGGATATGTGAGGTAGCTGAAGGAGTTTAGAGATGAACGAGAGGGATTTGTGTGTTAGGTACACCTAGCCAGAGCTCTAAACAATGAGAATCTCAGAATCACTCTGGGTTGGTGCTGTAGAACCACTATAACCCTCTAAGAGCGCATAGACACATCCCGGCACTGGGTCTTGCCAGCCGGAAGGTGGAATAGCCCATTACCGACACCGCAGACCAGCAAAGTCAGCGAGGCGCTCACTGGGAGCGCACGAGCGGTGTGGAGTCTGAGCAAGAGGTAGAGCTAGTCACTGCGTGTGTGTGTGTGTGTGTGTGTGTGTGTGTGTGTGTGTGTGTGGGGAGGGGTCAGGGAGCTTCGTGATCCAGAAGCCCAGGATGTTCAATCTTTCTCACAAACCTCAGTCCTAAGCTCCTCTCTGATATCTCAGTCTCAACTAATTTGCACCAATCCCCGAGATGGAATTGCTGCATTAAAAATCTTGGATTCCCAAAGCACCTCTGCGGGGTAAGATACCAGGCAGTGCCAAGCAACAGGTAGTGAGGGTCAGACGAAGGTGAAACCGCTATCAAGTCAAATTGCGAGAAATTTTAAACAATTGAAACAAACAAAAAAGGCAGACATGTTCAAGTATTTCTAGTTGTGAGACTTTTCACAGGAATCAAGCATAAGGAATTAAGGGTGTTTGAATTCATCTTTTTTTTTTTTTTTTAATCTTCCAAGTCTTCCTTACCTGTAAATTTGAAGTTAGACTGCGGCCCCAACAACAGAAGCTTTGAGGATCTGGAGATGGCTCTCCGTTTCAAAAAGCACAGATGATCATTCGCTTTTCTGGCTTCTGGTCACTTACTGGTCCGGAATCTGGGCCCAGTCAGCTTCCCTGTTTGTAGACCAGAGCCACACACATCCCTCGGGATTGTGGGAAGATCAACACGAGTCCTGTGTGCACGAGAAGTAGCGTTTTGACTATCAAGTAGCAGTAGCAGTATCCTCGACCAGAAGCAGTACAAACACCCAAGTTCATTAAAGATGTTCCCCGTCTTGCTTTTAATTTTGACTAGCATTCCCCATAACCCATACTCAAAATGTGACCAGCTTTGGCCGCCAACAAGAGTACTGTACTCTTTAGATTAGACTTAGAGTGATCGAAAGTGAAAATTCAGAAGTAGGCTGCCCCGCAGGGCCTCTGGTAACTAAACAGAAGACCGGGGGATTACTTGTATGTGCAGTCTCAGTGTTCAACTTTCTTGGGACCGAGTCTTTTTGATTAAACCTTTCACTGGTGGGGGGATGCCAGCAGACCTTGGCATCAGGTACCAGCAGACCAGTATCGCGGCTGAGCTCTGTGGTGTGCTGGCCTCCAAGGAGAGTGCCCCTCGCACAGGCAATCGTCGACCCCTTGTGCGTAAGTTCTCGGCGCACCGCGCACGGCCAGGGACTGGAGCCTGTGTGGCTACGGTTTGGCCCCGCGCTTCTGGATGAACCCATCAGAGGCTGCGTTAGGAGGCTAGTCACGGAGACAGAAGAAGGGTCTCCACGTGGCGGTCGCAGTGGCCCCCATCTCCGGCTCGGTCTCTCCTAAACCTCCTGGTCTTTCCGAGGGGCCTACCATCTCACACCTGTGCTCTCGCCACCTGGCATAGGCTGGAGTGAGGTAGCCCCTGCCGGTAATAGGTTCTTCTCCAGACAGCCCCTGGAGGCCCGCATGACGGGCAATTCTAAGAACCACTGCCCCTCGTAACGGTGGCCCCCCACCTCCCACCTGGAGTTTTAACTTCAATTCTGAGGCATCTGTCCCTCCTCCCCTCCTAGAAGTCTCTTCAACCCCTTCTCCCTTCGAGTCTCTAAAATTCAGACCAAACGCTTTCATTTGCTTATTCAGCATTTTTATCAGCCCGATTGTGTTGTCTGTTTGCGCTGCTCCTGGGAAGGTGTCAAACTCCCATTTTCATTGTATTTAGTCACCCAGGTGCAGAGCAAGCTTGAAAGAGACAGCGGAAGGACTTTCCCGGACTGCACTGTCGCTCAGCTGGCCGCACCAATCACCACGCAGCTTGCCCTCGGACCCTCCTCTTTGAGGGCGTGTCCCTGGTGAGTGATTGACGGAGCCGCCCGGCCCAGCTCAGGCCAGCCCACGTTGCTGCTTAGATTGAAATGCAGAACTCTAGCCTCTTTCATCGGGGCACAGACTTCCTTTTACTCCTTCCTTTTGCACTCTCGCCGCCTCCTCCCGGGAAGAAGTGGAGGCACCGGCGGTCCGGGGCAGCGACGAGCCGGGCCACTGAGGCTGTGCGAAAAGTTACTTTTTGGGAGTGCGGAACTGGGGCCCCGTTGGTGTACTGCTCGGAGCAATGGGTGAGTGGCGGCGGGGGACGCTGTCAGAGCCGGGAAGG